GCATCTCTGAGCAGAAGCTTCTAGTAGGCATCAAAAGGAGGAGTGTTGCTCACTGACATCACAGATAGAAGGGCCTTGTGGAGTTCGGCTTCGCAGTCAGTCTGAGGTGGCTCAGTGTATCCCACAATTAGCATCTATTCATCGTGTTGCATGGGGCTCGTAAAGAGTCCCACCTTTGTCCCATAGCATAAAATTACTCTAGAATAACTCAAAGTGAGCACGGCTCATGGCTGTGTTAATTGTGCATTCCAGGGTTCTCTGTGTTTTTAGTTAACAGAATGTTGGTTGTGAAAACACTTTTGATTAATTGCCATAATTATTGTGATCATTTTTGCCCAAATGAACAGCCAGATGGCAGGATATGGTGTCATATTTGCGATCCTTTCATATTAATCTGGCTCGAGGTCCATCTGAGCACATTGTGCCATTTGTTGTGTTCACAATCTGTCCTCAAGTTGTCCATGTTTCTTTTTTTTTGCAAGCTGCAAGTTTTTTATTTGATTATATTGGAGCATTAAATATTAAAGTTGAGGGTGTATGAAAGCAAGGCATTTATCTGCATGAATAGCTTGTGTTTAGTGAAGTACGTAATGTGCTTTAAGTAACATCTCCTCCATGCATACTAAAATTAACTATGAGAGTGTTTTCGTCTCATGTAGTCAAAGCCTTGAACAAATCTAACAAAACCACTTTTGTGGGGTTATACCTGCTTTAAAACCCATTTTACATGATCTCATCTTTATTTTATTTTTATTCTTTATCCAAATGTTCCGGCATGCAGATAAAATCTGAACAACATAATTTGGTTAATCTATTCAGTTTTGAAGTGCATCATTATAACCATTTAGCATAGAGGTGTGAGAACAGAATGCCTCACATGCGATCTGATGACACTCGTGTTTAAAAGCAAGTCGTAAACTATTTCATTTTGCGATATCAATTAACCCCCAGACACATTCTGTCAAAGAGAGCAGGCTGAGTGAGATTGTTCCGTCTTTTCGCTGCAGTGTCCTTGGGCTCGAGAAGCCTGTTTCCTGACAGAGAACAATGAAGAGAGAGGTGTTTACAGATCCTTACAGATGGCTCCGGGGCTCCGAATTAGGTTCCTACCATTTCTCATGTGATTCAGTTCAAAATTAACTTCAGATGTGTCATCAAGCCTATCATCAGGATGTCTGACAATGTATCCATTTGATCGTGACTTGCACTTCTCACTGTTAGTCAGATATTGCTGTCAAATATTACATCTGGTGGCATGTGTTTCTCATTCTAATGATAGCTCAGTGAAGAAATCGCATCAGGGTGACTTGAAAAGAAAATGCCTTCACAACTTTGTTTGGAATTGTTTTTTTTGTTTTCGCACCAAGTACTTTTTGACTGACATTTCACACCTATTTATATCAACAAATGAGCGCTATGAGTAAATATCTGAATATACAGATACAATTAACTGGGACTTAGCTTCCACGTGAGGAAGAAGAAACACAATCTTGTGTTTTGTGAGACAGCTTAGAGCGTTTACTGATCCTGACCTGCATTGTTGGTGTGGGCTCTGCCTATCCAGCAGGTCTCCTTTTCTTCCTCTCCCTTTCTTTTCTTTTTTTCTTTCTTCTCATGGCATAAATCCGGGAGATGAAAATGTCATGGAGCAGGTTCATTTTGCAAAGAGGTTTTGATTGCCATGCTCGTGTAATTGATTGTTCCAAGGACAGGGGGAAATCTAGAAATGTCATAACAGTCCTGCTTAGGTTGGTCCCACCGCTAGGCAATCAATGAGAAGTAAAAAGAGATATTGATTTGTGCGCAGCAAAAACTGTAGCTTGAGACAACTGGCGAGCAGTGGGGAAAGTGGCACCGACGTGCAGACCTGTCACCGGCACCTATGAATTACCCAATCTTCTCTGAAGATAGTGTTACCTCAGCTACTCACAGAGTCCTGCGACAGGGATTGCAGCTGTCTGTTAGCTAAGCTCGTCAAACTGCTAACTCTCTGTGGCTTGTCAGATTAATGAAGGAAATGTTGACCTTTCAGTGGATAAATGTTTATGTTCTCACCATTACAAAACTTCTGGCATCTTAATATTGGAAACAGAAAACCGTTTCTCAGCTGCCACATACCTTTCATAAGTGATCGGCACATTTTGAATAGGCTTACTCAAACCAGTGAGAGCGGATTGTGGTCTGTTAAGACACTAATGCTTACAGTGGAGAGATAAATATGTTGTCATGTAGGCCTTTTAGCATCAGTCGGTTTAGAAATGGTGCCATGAAACTGTAATTTTTATGCAGTTATAGCTAGTCTCTCTGGATGTAGGAACAAAAGCCTTTTGGCTCTGGAATAAGCTGCAGCCTCTGTAAATCCAGGCTTTGCTATGCCAAGAGTCTGTTCTAACGGATAAAGGTTATAAACACTTCAACTGCCTGATTTATGATAGACACCTCAGGTTTTTTGACCTTTGCATATCTCTGTCTGAAGATATAAATTTGTCATGACACAGATTGGAGGCTTTACAGCAGTTTATGACATGCTAAATCTCAGGCAAGCATGCCAGCCTCTTGTTTTCTATGGCCGGTCAGGCTCACAGTTTTCTTACTTGGTCTCGTTTTCAAAGCAGGCATTTCCTTCTCTTGTGGCAGGTAAATGCAGTGGCTGTTGACTTTTGCCTTACAAAATTATGCACACATTTTAACACTTCAAATGGGGACTGTTTTGTGCAGCCTACCAGTTGGTTCTGCGCTATATTCAGCTGGATCTTATATAGGTGATCTATGCCACCGTCTTTGAATCTACTTTTGTATTAGTGAGCAATGCAGCTGGGAATTGCTGAAGCTCCAGGGTAGATCAAAAGCTTGCAAAGCACTGTTACAAATGGTGTGAGAAGCAGAGTCAGACATGCAGGTTTCTTGGAGCGGTCCCTTCCAGAAGGTTAATTGGTGCCTATGGATGTCTGCTACGCAGGGCATCTGATAGAAAGGCCCAGAACAAGAGGAAGGGCAGTTGTTAATCTCTGTCAATTTCATCCTCCAATACCAAGATAAGGACAATCATGTTATTCCTATTTTTGTCCAGGAAAAGCACTACCCTTCTCTGTGAAATTATTTTACTCATAAGTAAAACCAAAAAGATATGTAGTATAATCTGTTCTGGAAATTATCACTTATCATAAAAATGAGCAATTTCCACTCATTCTACATTGGACAGGACATATTTCCTCTTTGGTGAACATTCTTACCAGTCCCTTGGTTTTAGTGATAACTTTGAAGAGAGAAGACATCAACTGAGAGCTTGTCATGGCTATTTATGTTCCCTCCATTGTGAATACTATATATGAGTATAAATAAAACATACCTCTGTGCTCTTGACAACTCTATCCCTTAGCATCAAGGGTGTTTTGGGTGCTATCACTGATCTCAGCTGGCCAATCAAAACATCCCACTTCAGTAGAGCAAGGTCACACATTGGGGCTCTTTGTGCATGTGTGCGCACGTGCGCTCTCTTTTACCCAGCCCCATTCTCTGTTTTTTTTGGAAAGTCCAACTCTGTTCTTCTTCCCCATCCATTAACCGTTGAGCAGTTCATCTTCAGGGTTTCTCTCAAGGCACTTGTGAAATATTGATACAAAAATGTCTTATTTTCAGAAAGCAAAAACGATGAAGATGTTTTCTGGGCTGCCCAGTGTGGGACGCCTGAGTGCTCGGCTGCAGTCAACCCCTCTTGGAGTGCTTTCTATTCAGAAGAGAAATATTAACCACATGAAACGCATAAGTGCCTGGACAGGGCTGTTATGTCTTATTCATATTTAACAGGGAGCACATCTGCCACATCTCTTCTAAAATGCACATTTTCCTGCATGGCTGTGAGGTGGAAAATGTGTCAAAGATATGTGACAACTCTGACAAACTAAATATATTTCAGGGTGTCTTCAAAGAGTGTAAAACTTTAGTTGTGATTATGTTGATGTGGGTTAAAAGATGGCTAGATTTCAAATAATCTACAGGAAATATTGAAAAAAGGTTGTTTAAATCTTCTACAGAGGTGCTCAGATCAAGCAAACCCTGCAGCTAGATGAAATTCAAGCTATGCTGACTCAGAGTTTTTATTAATTGGATGATGGGAAATGTGTCAATTAGAAATTCTGTTGTTTAATTATCTGTTAATTGAAGCAATAATGTTTGTGCTCCAAGAGTTGAGAGAACAAACATATGAATAATGAAAGAAGTAATTGCTCTTTATGAGACTGCCAGGGAAAATATAATGGTCTGACAGATTGCCAGTTATCTTTTGAAATTTGGTATAATAGTCTGGTTGTGACTTATAACTGGATCTGCTTCTTAACCAGCTTTTGCACATCTGCAACATAGTTTTATATTGCTGTCAACAAAATCAGTTTCCTAAAGTTGAGTTACAGAATATTAAAAATGTCTAATTGTAACTAAACTTTTCACTGTTGTAATGAGTTCTCGTTTATTTATTTTTTTCTGTCAAGCCTTTGAAGTTCCATCTGGATTGATGTGGATCATTAGAATAGCTGAGTTCATGTAAATTTATTCCTCACATGATGCTTCAGGCATGGTGAGATGTAGTCCACAACATAAGGCTTACATTTCTGAAGTATCCATAATCACTGTGGAATAGGTCATTTGCAATACCACTTAACAGGCCCCAGATGAATCAATTTCCTTTTGTCACTCAGTGGTCAGTGATTGGTGTAAACATCTCAACTGAAGGCCAGGAAACCCTTGGACACAGCGTTAGGTCAATGGCTTGTCATGAATCAAACGGAGCAGTTACACCATCAGCTGTTAGTAAAAGCACTTATACTCTCCAGGCTCCCAAAGAATCAAACAGCTGCCATTATAACATCTCAAAACATTCTACTTGAATCTGCTTGGAGTCTCTCAGTAATGCATATTTAAAAAATTGCTATAGTGACAATAAAAATGACATTAGGCACACTGTATTTTAATTCATTTTTTTTTCTTGTCTCTGCCTTTTCTAGTGTACATGCCTGATGAAGAGGCTGCTCCTCAGGATTCCATCACTGAAGAAGATGCTGAGAATGACACTCAAACTGAAGAGGACTGTTCAGAAAAGACCAGCCCCAAGGTGTCAGAGGACAAAGAGCTGGACAACAAGAGCACCCACACATACAGCAACCAGAACTCTCCCATTAGTGTCCTTTCCAATCAGGAGGCAGAGCTGGAGTCACGTCTTAGCGACAGCAGTGACAGACTCTCAGATTTCAAAACCTCCTCGCCACCTGAGAGCCAGAGGGATGAAGAAAGTTGCAGCTCAAAGCATAAAGAGGAGATGGGCAGTAGTTTGGAGAAAATGAGGGCAGCTTATGCAAACTTTCTCTCTGACTCTTATTGGACGGGAATTGGAATGGACTTTAAAATGGGCAGAAAGGCCAGCAAAGCCAACTGTGACAGCACCAATGGAAGCAGCAAGAGTGAGTTTGACTGGCATCAGGATGCACTCTCAAAAACCTTACAACAGACACTCTCCCCAAAACCTGCATCCAAACCCAACCTCTTTAGCTCTGTCCACCTATACCGGCAAACTACCAAACCCTGTGGCTCAGTGTTCACAGGAGCCAGCCGTTTTCGATGTAAGGATTGTAGTGCAGCTTATGACACCTTAGTGGAGCTGACTGTCCACATGAACAAGACAGGTCACTATCAAGACAACAACCACAAACAGAGTAACTCTACAGCTTCATCATCCAAATCTAGAAAAAGAAATTTGCAAGATATGGAAGGGAAAGAGGATGCACAGAAGGTTTTGAAATGCATGTTCTGTGGCCATTCTTTTGATTCGTTGCAGGATTTGAGTGTCCATATGATTAAAACAAAGCATTACCAAAAAGTGCCTTTAAAAGAGCCAATCCCTGTAATCACACCAAAATTACTGCCACCAGTGAAGAAACGAGCCTTTGAAACAACAAGACCTTGCTCCCCAGACTCAACCACTGGTGTATCTAGCCACACTGAGGCACAGCGGACAGCCAACCTTTCAAATGCTAACAACAATCGCTATGGATATCAGAATGGCGCAAGTTATACTTGGCAATTTGAAACATGCAAGTCCCAGATTCTCAAATGTATGGAGTGCGGAAGCTCTCACGACACCCTTCAGCAACTCACCACACATATGATGGTCACTGGACACTTCATCAAAGTCACAAACTCAGCTTCTAAAAAGGGCAAACAACTAGCACTTGATCCCCTGGCTGTAGAGAAGATCCAAGGCATAGCTGAGCCTGTTGCCAGTGATAGTGAGGGAGAAAAGGTGTCTCCAATAAACCCTTCCCCTGGGACCATTGAGAAGGATAGCCAGTGGGAAGGAACACCAGACAAAACAGAGGAAACCGAAACTAAAGAAGACAAACAAGAGAGTGAGGATCAAAAGGCGAGCAATGGGGCTTTTAAATACCCATATCTCCGTGAAGAGGACCTTGAACAAGAGTCAGGTGGTGGAGGGGACATTCTTAAATCTTTGGCCAATACAGTGGCATCTGCCATCAATAAAGCTCAAACAGGAACACCAAGCTGGAGTGCCTACCCAAGTATTCATGCTGCCTACCAGCTATCTGGCATCATAAAAAATACCCCCCTCTCTGCATCTCCCCCTACTCAGCTAAAGCAGACATTTAACCACAAGTTGAGGCCAATTGCCCCAAAGGGAAAGCTATACCACAGTACTATGGGAGTTGAGACTCCCCAGGGAATACATCAAAATGTGGACATCAAAAAAGAAAAGGATGGCATTAGCGATGGCAAAGAAAGTCAGAATATAAAGTTTGATCTGTTGGAGAATGATGACAGCGATTGTCAGGATGATTCCTCTTCCTCTTCAAAGCTCGATACAGACTGTGTGAATGAAGAGGGGGAAACGATCAAAGAGAAGTTAAGCCCAGATTTCTCTGACAGAGGGAAGACACCGAGCCCTGCTGCCAGCCATGGACGCAGCACTACATCAGAACCTCTCAGTGACACTCCAGATAATCTCAGTATAAACCCTCTCAGTGCACTACAGTCAGTTCTGAACAATCACCTGGGCAAAGCAAACAAGCCCAATAACTCAAGAGCAGATAAAATATCTGCACATGCACAGTCTATTTTTGCTGATTTTAACCGTAGCAGTGAGAAACCATCTTCAATGCTCAGAAGTCCTGTAAGAAATAGATCTAATAATCCCTTTCTCTTGATCAGTGATGACCAGCCAATAGATTTAACAAAATCAAAACACAGCAAGGCAACCTCTTTGCTGCTACATCCCTCTACACCGATGTCACAGAAATATGCTTTGTCTGACATTGCAGACATGGTTAAAGTTCTCCCAAAAGCCACCACACCAAAGCCATCTATACCATCAAGGATTCCAACCATGAAGCTTGAATCTGACGTGCGACGCTTCGAAGATGTGTCTGCAGAGGTCTACTCCGTCCACAAGCGCAAAGGTAGACAGTCTAACTGGAATCCTCGACATCTCCTCATCCTGCAGGCTCAGTTTGCCTCTAGCCTTTTCCAGACATCTGAGGGAAAGTATTTGCTCTCTGACCTTGGCCCCCAGGAACGAATGCACATCTCCAAATTCACTGGATTGTCAATGACCACCATAAGCCACTGGCTAGCAAATGTAAAATATCAACTGCGAAAAACAGGAGGGACCAAATTTCTAAAGAACATGGACACAGGCCACCCAGTCTTCTACTGTAATGACTGCGCCTCCCAGTTTAGGTCACCCACAACATTCATTTCCCATCTGGAATCCCACCTTGGGTTCCAAATCAAAGACATGTGCAAAATGCCCGTAGAGCACCAAACAAAGATAGAGGAGCCCGAAATGTTGAAGGCTCTTAGTGTCAGAGCCACTGAGGCTCTGGCCACAGATGACGACATTGACGCAAAGTTCAAATGTAAGCTCTGCTGTCGGACATTTGCGAGTAATCACGCAGTCAAACTCCATCTGAGTAAAACTCACAGCAAATCCCCAGATAACCATTCACAATATGTTGAAATGGACAAGGAGTAGGGGTTCATTCTGTTACTTTGGCCATTCTTTTCCTTTTCTTCCTTTTTCAATTTAATACACGGGTCAGATATTTCAACCAGTTTTCAGTTAGCATTGTGTAGTGTGCATCATCATGACTTTAAAACAAATGTTGGCATACAGCAAAGACACTGGTTAGAAGCAGTGTGAGCAAACACTAAGAGATCCTTTTGCACCCCGCTCAAATGCACCACCAGTAATGAAATGTATTACTGCTTGAAGAAAAATTATTGCTGATGTTTGCATGCAATAACCCTGGCTATGACTACTATTTATTTGTATATGTCAAGTTTCAATTGTATTTTAAGGACAAAATAATGAACTAATTGAACCACTTGTATGACCTCTGTGATGCAGTACATCTGCACAGATGTGCAGCTGTTAAAGCAGGCGGCCTGAAACATGAGAACACACACGCAGACCTGTACAGTATATCTCCATGTAAAAATGTTTTGTGTTGCTATGATAGAAGAAAAAAAAAAGCACTTTAATAAATGTTTAATCACCAGTTTAGATGCAGATTCTGTACATGGCTCAAAAACAATTAGATGATTTGAAAACAAGGATATTTCACTTGTAAATATATTTTAGAAGAAAAAAAACTGTTTCATGCAACAACAAGAACAAAACAGATAATACCTGTGATCCCTGCACCTTTTTCTACTTATTCCAATAAAGAGTTAACATTTGATAATGGCTTGTATTTTTTGTGCTTTAAATTTTTTTTTTTTTCATTTTCATGTCTAAACAACTCAAAAAAATATCGGTACTGAAAACATTAGGTTAAAAAAAATACCTGCAAAAGCATGTCTAATTTCACATTTCCTACATATTTCCCATTTTGATTTTTCATATTTGTCCTGACTAAAATTTTCAAGCTTTTTATAAAATTTTGAATAATTTTTATGCCTATGTAAAATGATTATGATCATTTTTTTAAACAACTTTGGCTTTTCAATGCCTCTTTAGAGAATTAACAATTCTGGAGTGCTAGATGAATTGTTTATACCTAAATCCTTCTCTGTTTTATTTCAGCTTTAAATAAAATATATGCAATTTTTTTGTGTGTAGGTGATATACTGTCTGATCAGAATCTTATCACCTTATCATACTTTTTTATGCATGAGCCTAGACACATTGCTATTTGATTAAAGTTGATACATTTTCATAGACTATTACAAACAGTAATCTCTTTAAAAGACATCAGCGGTATAAGATCTAAAAGTGTACATCGTGACTGTGTTTTTTTTTTATTCAACATAGTCAAAGTGAAAAATACCCAGCTAGAGAGTAAATATCCAAGATTGTACATACAGTTTCTTGTTCCTGTACTCAAATGCTATATGTTTCAAGCTGGATGTTTTCTCCGTGCATGTGTGGGTTTTCTCTGGGTACTCCGGGTTTCCTCCCACAGACCAAAAACTTGCATGTTAAACTCATTGGTAACAAAATTGGTGAAAGTGAGAGAGTGAATGGTTGGTTCTCTCATTTGTCTCCATGTGTCCCTGTGATGGACTGGAGACCTGTCCAGGATGTCCCCTGCCTCTCGCACAGTGGCACAGTGACCCCCATGACCTGAAAAGGAAGAAGCGGGTAAAAAGGATGGATGAATGTTTCAAGCCTGTGTAGGAAGCCTGTTTTTGTACAAAGGCCAGCATATATTATATTTAAAGAATGTTCTAAATGAACGATGATGAAAAAGGTTAAAAACCAAAAACAACTGGCCTTTTATTCTGAAGCTGAAGATGTTTCACTTTCCATCCGAGAGGATTTATCAATTCTAAAATGTCTGGAGTGTCGACGTTCCATGCTTTATAGAACTGCGTGAGAGGCCTGGAAGCGTCCTCAGATTCAGCTGCAGGTTAGACTGGAACTACTTGCACGCAAAGTGGAGGCTCGTTGGCCTCTTTGCCTGCCTGGCTCACAGAGAGATGTTAATAAGTGCTATTTGTTGTCATCAATGAATGTTCCCATACAATGGCAAAATTAGTTCTCTGCATTTAATCCATCACACCTGGGATACACCCAGGTGGAGCAGTGGACAGCTATGTAAGCACCCGGGGAGCAATTGGGTGTCTTGCTCAGGGACACCACGATGTGGGAATGGCTGGGACTGAACCTGGGACTTTCGGGTCCCAGGTCGGCTGACCTGCCTTTACCCCATTTTGGCCCCTTTTGGTCACCTGTGTGAACTGGAGTCTAAATTGTAGATAAATCATGTTGGCTTCAGTTCAACAAAGAAACTTCCTATTTTCTTCATTTTAGGTTCAAGATGGCAGATTTATTTCCACTAACCAATTATTATGATCTAAGAAATGAAGTGATACCCAAAAACCTTCTTCAGTTTGAAATATCTGTCTCGTTGTGTTTTTATGTCCACAGAGAACCTTGGCTGTAGAAGACAAAGAGCACCATCACAATTCTCTTTTCACCTTATGACTTTTAGATACACTTGAAAGATCTATCCTCCTGTCAAACTTTATTGCTTCCCTGTGAACGCGGCTGCTGCTGCTGCAAGATACTATCATAACAATTAAACATATTTCCTCCAGCTCTATTATTTCAAGGCTATTAAAAATAATTGCCTTCTAAATTCATAAACATTTTATGCAATTCATCTCTTTTCAAGCAATCAAGTCCTCAATTACCACCACCCATCAAATCTCTGTTTTATAACAGGCAACTGACATTTGATGGTAAATGGGGAAAAGCACATGGGCACTGCGGTGATTTGATGCTGTGACACCGACTTGCCCCCTATTGTTGGAAATGAGCAGGCAATCACGTTGTTCATCAGATGACTCCTAATGCAGTTAAAGTATTCAGCTATAATTTCTCCCTGCATTTATAATTACTGTCAAAGACCACACACCTCAGTGAGCAGATTAAAGCTATAAATTATTTAGAGCCTTTCTTCGCCAATGGATCTCTGATTTGTCTGTAGGGCCATTATGCTTTAGAGGAGCAACTTCTTTTAAATTGAAGCCGGCGTTGTTCTTAAGCCACAGCAGACGGCTCTGCAGAGAGGAGAGGACGAGAGTACTGTTTGTGTTTATTCATTCAGATTTTACAAACTCAGATTGCAACCTTTTTATAAAAACACATAACTTTGCACTAGCTTGATTTCAAAGCTTGTTTAGGTTTGATGTTATGGACTCAGCATGACCTGGAAACAATGAACACCCAGCAGTCCTGGCAGTTGTTAAATTAACATTATATACAGTACGAACACCAATGGGTTAGTCCTCTGAGTGTTTTTAGGGGAAGAAGAGAGCAGCTGAAAGAAGAAAGAAATCTGGAATTGACTGTTTTGGTCATTTTGTACGTCCTACTTTTTTATGTCTTAAATTGTGTCCTGACAAGGACAAGGTGTGAAAAATGTTTTTGTTAAATACCACTATCATATCGTCATGGTCTTTCTCCTTTTCTATCTAAAGAATTCTGATTCTAAATTCAGTAGCGTGGCAACCATCTCAAGTTGGGTTGACTAAAGTTAATCACATCCGTTAAATATTTCCTGAAAGTTTCAATAAAATCTGTAAAGTGGTTTACAAAATATTTTGCTAACAGAACAGAAAACAATGAGATAAAAATGCTGAGTGTATGAACTGAAATGATCAGCTCTCTGATTATAATTTGTTCTGATAAGTCAAAATCAGTAAATGATTTATTATTGATAAACAAAAATGTAAATTTAACTAAAAATATGTAAAAAAAAAAAAAGCAAACAAAAAAACATCAGGGTTAATATTAAGAATAATAAAAAATATTAGACAAATATGCAAAGTATGAGCCTTTTAAATATACACTTTCCTCTGAATCTTTTGATGAATACCAGTGATTACACATCGCAGAAAATGAGGTGAAATAAGCTCATAATTCTCTGTATGCTTTTTATTAATTGATTTGGGATGTTTGGATATGAACACGGTTAATTGCACCATTTATACGATGTGTCATGGCTAATTACAAAGCACAGTCAGCTTTCTGTAAGCACCAGACACACAAACTGAGGGTCGTGCACGGCAGAGATGTGTTCGGTTTAGATGAAATAAACATTTTTTAACACTGGTGTTATTTTTAATGTAAAAAGGTGAAATAAACAGAATACTTTCTGCTGTTTAGTCTCTTCCATACGGTGTTTTGTCATCAAACTGCATCTACAAACTGCTTTTATTCTTTCATACATCAAAACGTTCAGCTCGATCGGGAAGTGTGTGCTATGACTTCCGGTTTTTCTAACATTTATACTTTACAACATATTTACTTCTTTATAATCTTCATAGAAATGTGATGTTTCCTTTAAAACTGTTCATTTTGAAATCTGCATACGAGCTTTAGTTTTGACTTCTTATGCTCCTTTTAAATTTTAGCTGTAGTTTTGCTATTGTACTAATTTAATTTACTAGTTTTGTTGATTTTGGGGTTTGCTACGTATTGCTAATTTGGCTTTTAGCTACAGTCTGAATTATTCTAACGCTTAGCTATAGTTATGCTAATTTTAACAACACTTTTAAATATTTTATGTTATCTACAATTCAGCTAATTTTAGGTTTATCTACAGTTTTGCTATTTTATACTACTTTGCTAATTTTAAGTTTAACTTTAGCTTTAATCTAAATTTAGCTAATTTGGCTTTTATTTACTGTTTTGATAATTCCAACTTTTTACTATAGTTGTGCTAAATTTAACAAAGATTTTACAGATTATCTGTTGTATTTATCATTTAGCTAATTTAGGTTTAGCTATGGTTTTTCTAATTTTAACTTTGAGCTACTGTTTTAAGATTTTTAGCCTTATCTAGTTTTGCTTTTAGCCACATTTGTGTTGATTTCAGTTTTTAGCTATGGTTTAGTTCATTTTAGTTCAAATGCTAAATTCAACTCTTACACATAGCTTTGCTAATTTTAGTTTTTTTGTTTTTTGTTTGTTTTTTTGTGGTTTTGCTAAGTTCATATTTTAATTATTGTTTTGCTAATATTTGATCTTATCTGCTTGTTTTAACAAACAAGTTTCAGTTGTTTCATCAAATGCCTGCTCTCCATCAGCACTCAGCAACATCAACTGCAATTTTTGTTGCCCTGAAAATATTTTAAGGCTCCACAAATGTTTAACTGGTTGACTCAAAATATAAGCATGATGAAATTACTCCTAGCTCAAAGATACTTTTGAACAAAAGCTCAGTTGAAAAATCAAATGTTCTCATGGAGTTGCCCTCGAGCTGACCGAAGGTGATGGTAGCTCTTGTCTGTAGGTCTGTCAGTCCGTCATTAAAAATCCTATCAAATAAAGATAAGGCGCGCGCTTCGTGTTTTCACCGGATGCATCCGGCTGATACTGATGTGCTGTAATAGGACAAATGTGCATCAGAATGTGCCTGCTTGGATACACAGAAAACATTTTTACTGACTGCGCTCTGGCCTATTGTCAGACAGGCGTGGATTCAAATCTGCATCGTGTGGGGAGGGGGAAGGGGGGGGGTTCAAAATGTTCATCACCCAGCAGCAGGGTAATGACTAGCTCATGTGTTTAATGAAGGGCTTTAGAACGTATAGCTATAATGACCCACATCCTAACTCCTGGTTCTCCCATTCCTTCTCCCTGATGTCCCCAGGTTATTACGGCCCTCTCAGAAATCTCCCAGAAAGAGCTTTACGTCTTCCTGCTCCTGTTCGCACAGTACTTATC